TCATCATCATCATCATCATCATCATCATCATCATCATCATCATCATCCACTGGAAATTGGTAATGGGATATAGATCCAAATCATATCAAATACACCCCAGTTCGGAGACCCACATGGAACCGAGCGAGCGAACGGCATGGGTGGGTGACTGGAAGGATCGTCTTCCGAAGACGACTTAACCCGACGGTGGTTGTCAGGTTCCATGTGAATGGTCCAATCTTCGTTCTTGGACGTTTTGGACGGTGATGGAAAACATTTCTATGAACATGGAGTGCTAAGTGATGTCCTATCATGCGGGGGTGCGAAGTGGACCCCAAGATGGGTGGGTTTTCTTGGAGTACGACATGCAGCGAACGGGTCTGCTCGCCCCTCTCAGAGACAGATGGTGCTCACTTTGAAGAGGAACGTTTTTAGAACTTTGCGGGTTGCTTTGTTAGTTTGGGGAAGGAACCCCTCTGGGCAGTAGAAAGAAGCCGTATCTATAAGTAGTCTACTAACTGCTAACCAAGGCAGTAAAAATGCCACACTTCTTTTGGCGGGGTAAATCCTATGGGCTGAGAGAGAACTTGTTTTTTGGCAGTCAAAGTTCCAGGAAGATTTGTACGAAGCCTCAAAAATACGACCAGCACCGGACTCGTTGTGAAAGGGTCGATGTTCTTCTTGAAGATCCGTGAATAAAAGGTTCAGGTGCTCGGGGTCTCTGGAATCGGCTGTTTTAAGAGCACATAGTGGCACTGTTTCCCAGTTTCTGAAGGGAGAAATGACTGGGAGCGAGTGACTTCACACATTTTTTCATGTGACACTTCTTTCTTAGCGAAGGCTATTAGCCCTCCAAAAGAGAGGGGATAGAGTGTATAGAGGTGGTTGTGTCAATGTAGAACTATGACCACCAATAGTACCAATCTATATCTATCATCATCTTATTCATCTACACAAAAATCGATCATCACATCGTGACCAAATGCAGTATATGCAGGGGGAAGGTTGCCCTCCTTTCCGGATGGGACCGGAACCACGCCTCGGCCGGTTCGCTCAAGCTTAGCGTGGCGAGACCGGTCATCCGCTGGTGCAAGACCAGCGCGTCGGCGTCGCTTCGGAGGTTCCTCCGGTGACACCAGTGCGTATAGAGGTCTGGGCTCAACTCCTAAAGGTCTGAGGCTTCTTGGCACCCCTGATATAAACTACCCTAAGCATCATCACGGACCCCCAGCAGGTGAAGGTTTGGTTCAATGATGGTTACCAACAGAGGTAGCCAGTGACCGTAAATAGGACCCGTCACCTGGGCACCCAACTGGGATAGCCGAAGCAGTCGGGTTCTGACCCACCTCTGTTGGTAGTGTCTATTCAACCGGGAAGAACCACTTCAGACTTAAGCGGTGTTTGCCCACTGACTCCATCAGACAGGACTTCCTTCATACAGAAGGTGTGTTTGAAGTCCCGCGACCCGACTGATGGTTTGAAATGCTTGACTGATCCCCACGGTATCCCTAAGAGTCCATAACTCATGTTACTCCTGTGTTGGAGTATGACTTTTAGCTGGTCTAGTTCATGATGACTAGACGGACATTCCTTGAAACCTTCCCAGCGGACGGGACCCTAACCCCCTTCGGACGCGACCGAACGATCTTGAGCCACGCTTGGCGCCGCATGCCATCGGCGCCACGCCATCCGTGCGCCTGGTCCGGCCGTTGGTATCAGCTGCTGGTGCTATCGCTGAGCACTTACAGGACGGCCGGAGAAGCGGCGGCGTCTCCACTGACTCCTGAACGTCCACGGTGACTCGCAGCTTCTGAACGAAGAAAGAAAAGAATCCAACACACCTGGTTGTTCTTGGGATCCAGGATGACTAGACCCTCAACAGCACGCAAGACACTCTCCATCTACTCCAGAATTCTCAAAAAACGACCGTGGGCTCAGATCCACGTATTTCTTCGACTGGACTGAGTATGGTTCGACTGCCCCTCTTGGCCCCCCAGTGCCATGCTGCAGAGCCCACGACCCCGCGTCAGAGCCGGCGTCAGATCCGGCAGGAGAGCAGGGCCAGCAGGGCCATGGCCAAGCGGCGCGGGGGCGGCGTGACAGCTTGCTCGAGCTCCGCGGTCAAGGCGCCCAAGGTCATTGCACCGTCGGCCGTGAAGGAGAGAGTGGTGGAACTGGCTAAGAAGGCAGGAATCGAGCAGAAGGACGTGAAGAGCTTGGTGACTTGGATCTCAGTCAGTTTCGATCAGGCGGAATCCGTGGTCACAAGTATGGATGAGATATCCATCACTTGTTGAGTACACTTTCTGTCCCAGACGCAGACCCTCCATGGGACTGCCATAGGACTGCCGATCAGGCCAGGGCTGGTTTGGGATACATGGAGTGTATGCCCTAGAAGTCCAGTTTGACTATATATTGACCGGCCGAAGTAAAGGAAGTTCCTGAACTCAGGTCCCTAGTCAGACCATTCTTTAGTCTTTGACTCCCAGTGTATGGCTTTGAGGGCTTGGACCTTGGACGAGTCGCGGGCGACGTGGCCGAAAATGCGCCTCGAGGGTCGGTCGCGCTGGTTGCTTCGAAGCAACCATCGTTTTGAACCCTATATATAGACTATCCTATATAGGTACTCCTGGTTTTCCGGGTCCTAGTTCAGGTCACTGGCTACCTCTGTAGGTACAGGATGCTAAAAACTATTAAAAACTATTCCTTTTCTTTCTCCATTTCTTCTTTCCTTGGTCATTAGCTTCATCTTCTTCTTGGTGCGCGTCTTCTTGTTCTTGTTTCAGCCCCTCACACCACAGCAAACACTTCCGGGGTCTGTCCGGCTCGGCTCGGTCTGTTAGGGGTGGCGGGGTGAACCGGGGTACGAAGGCCATGGGTTTGGTGCGAGTGGTTTGTTTTGCCGGTGATTGATGGTGAGTTAAGGTTAGGGTTTAAGGGTTTAGGGGTTAGGGGTTAGTTCATGTTAATTCGAGGTTCACTAGGAGTTGGTTTGTGTTTGGGGCTGCCGAACGGGTCATTTGACATGATCATGGATGACTTGAACTTGAAGAATTGGACATCCGCAATTCATGGAGTGCTTCGATGCACCACATTTTACAGGCGAAATCATGTAGTGACAATTGGTGACATATTGGCATTGATCAGCACCCGCTCCAAGATCCCCAAGCCAACGAATTGACCAGTGACAAAATCACAATGAAGGCTCACAACATTCACAGCTGATAATAATACGAGCACTATTAGCTCCAATTGGCTCGATAAGAGCCCAGCCGTAGCAGGCTCTAACAGAAGCATCTCCGCGCCTAGCTGTGCTTTTGTGTACACAAACCGAGCTCTAGGAACCGAGCTTCGTGCTACGAGTTTTTTTTGGCCGTCTCATCAGCGGTTTCATGTATTCTGAGACTGTTTCAAGATTATTTCAACTTGGTTCTTGGTGGATCTATTCTGCTGTTTATGTATAGATTGAGGCGTTTTTCACCAAGGCTTTTTGTCATTGCGCTCTCTCCCCAGCATAGGACGCATAAGGGCTTCCCCTGACGATTTCACGGTTTAATTATAGGCCTCATGTTTCATTGTGTTTTCAGCTTTGCCAAAATAAGGAGACCTGGCGGCCAAAAAGTCAACTATTCATGAAACTACCCTGAAGCATGTACATGACATCTTTATCAGAAAAGTATTGAACTTCAGACCCGAAACACACCTCTCACACAGATCTTATCGCCAAAATGGAGCAACACCTGCACCTCGGGGGGTGAAAGACTGAACAAGCATGCAAAGATTGATCAACACCTGCACCACCTGACAAACCATGACTTCCAACCAACGAACTGGACCGGCATGCCCGGCACCAAGCTCGACAAGCTGGACGTGTCCATCGGCGACGCCTGGCGCCACAACCGCACTGCGGGCGTGGGAAAGCCACGGCGCGGGCAGGCGGAGGGTCACCAGAAATCACGGAAGCGCGGGAACTACGTGGGACAATAGGACCGAAACAAAGGAAGAGATGGAAAAAGAGACTCGGATAGAAAGGGAGGTTCAAGTGCACTGAAACATGATGAAACACGGAAAAGTTGGTGTAATACTATGGATTGTGTTTGGACCACCATCTTTGAGTATAAGTCCAAGGTAAGCCTCCATTGGTTTCTACATATGGTTGATAAAACTGATGAGAGCTCGCGGAGTTTCTTCAGTCCGAAAGCTGTGGTCCAGAATTTAGACCGGAATGGATCCATGGAGGAAGATGGGGTGCCCCTGTCACATCCACTCACTGGATGGGACTAAATACCACCCCACTTAGGGAAGAACGACATCGACTTAGACTCATGAAGAAAGCAAGCATTCTTGGTTCAGGCGTTAGGCTCGTGATGGTTCAGCAGGCATGCCAGCTCAAACCCCACAGCCAGCCGTGCTTTCGGTTCTTGAACCGATCTGCAACGCACCGAACGAACTGGGAGAACCGAAGACACCAAGACAACGTCACCTGGTCGACCCACAGCGCAGCACCTGGTCGACCCACAACTGAAAAAGCACCTGGGTGACAGTGGTGTCGACCGGAGACCGCTTAGTAGACCGAACCTGACTGGTCATACCGAACCTGATTGGTGCGACTCGTAGGGAATGAGGGTGGCTGGATCCAAAGGAATCTCTATTGGAGCTCATTCCCTCATTCCCTACTAAGCACCAGTCAGGAGAACCGGTTGAATTCATCATTTGCGGTTGCTTGGTGTTCTTGCTTCAACCCATTAGAAGCGACCACTTTCACCCCCGCCCGCGGGTCGTATGTTGGTAGGTGGACTGTGGCCGGATACGCCGAGCGCAGCCGGATCCTATGGCATTGGGATATTTGCCGGTGGGCGTGAGCAAGCAGCGGGGCAAGCTGGGACAAGCTTTGTCGCTCAGCTGCTGCGTGGGACAGGCGAGTGGTTCTTTGCTTGACCCATGTTGGTCAGTGCACTCGTCAGACCACGAAGCACCTGGTGGTTTCATGATGTGGACAGGGGGCTTGACCCTCCGATCCCCAACAAAAGCGCTAGGGATTTTCGTGGACTGGAATCGGGGTTGACATCCTAACCCATACACTCCATGTATGGAATATATGCCTACATTGACCCCCCAAACCACTCCAATGTAGGCATATATGGCAGTCCCATGGAGCGTCTGGGTAATGAAAATCTCAAGGAGCGTGAACTCCGCTCCGCTCGCTCGTGATCCGTGTTTCCTGCCACGTCCAGCGGCCCCGTGAGGTCGCCCTTCTTTCTGCCGACCCCGAAGGCGGTGACAGTGCGGTTTGTGGGCAGAGTGGGCATGGGCGACTGGGAGGAACATCATGATGGTTTTGAAGAGTCCTACAACTTGGTATGCCTGCTTGGATCATCCCAGAAACGAAGCATCGATATATTGTGGGAATGTGGATATGTTGGAACTTTGCGACATTTCAAGCACAAAGTCCCCCAATCAGTTTCTTTTGTTCAACCTGTTCCATCTTGGCCCATTCTTCCCCAAATTTTGTTGTTGTTGAGCAACGGAAAGTTTATGACGAATGAAGCACTTATGTGTTTCAATATCTTTTGCTCACTTGTTGCATTCTCAGAAGTCATGGCAAGGTCATTCAACCAGGAAGATTGGTGTCTACTTGTTGTCATTTGGCAATGCACTCTGTCATCCAAAATCAGTACCTGCCAAAGTTCAAAGAAGAACCCCAGACTCAGATCTTTCAGATGTTTCAATTCATGCTTTTGCACAATCCATGGAATGGTGGTACACACATATTCGAGAGAAGGATGGGACAATGGATTTCCACTCATGTTGATGCTGCTTGCGGTTTGACACCAAAATGACACCTGCACCTCAATCGCCTCAATCCGCGCTTGGCGCATGATGTACCACAGCTTCCCAGGGCATGTGCGCCTTCGCCACCCTAGATGGCCGACCGGGTAGCGTTCCGCTGTGGAAGTCGACGTCGCCACCGTTGGAGCTGGTGTGGCAGGCGGCCAAGGTCAGAAAGCCGCACAGCCCGCATTGGTTGGGAAAGAAAGCAAACCATTTTGGCAGAGATGCTTTGGAATGATTTTAGGGTCTGTATGTATACTGCTTGTGATGTGGACACCTGCGAAGGTCAGGAAGATGTTGTTTGAAGGTTTCCCGAGCTATATCTTTTTTTGGGGGGAGATTCCCAGGGTTGGTTTGGGGCATGTTTTGGAGTCCTCTCCTGGTCACCCCAATTCTTTGATTTTTAGGGTGTTTGGATTCCGCCGTTTTGGTTACACCATCTCCGAATGCATCGTCCTCTTGGGCCTAAAGGTAACCCTGGGAGTCAAAGACTAAAGAATGGTCTGACTAGGGAACTGAAAGGAAACTTCCTTTACTCCAGCCGGTCAAAGTATAGTCAAACTGGACTTCTAGGGGTTTTTGCATCTCCGAATGCATCGTCCCTCTCAACAGCGCCCGAGGTCGGAGATCGGCACTGATGGGTTGGTCACCGAGCCTCGGCGTGACGGTGACACGGGACAAGGGTGACGTCGTGCAGCGCTGCAGCAGTGGTAGAGCTCAAAATGGTGGAAAAACAAGGAGCTACTAGTCACAGACCTATAGATATATGTACAAGAAGCTACTGGTAGCTAGAAGCTTCCTTGGGAGTAGTATAGGATGTGGATCAAGACCTACACAATTTCTCTCAAAATGTTCGGTTTCGTGGAGTAAAAGGGACCTGTTTGGTATTCGGATTTCATGGTCATCCACCTATCCAACGGCAATGTTCCACTTCCGTGGCTACCGTACTACAGACTCCTGATGTTGTTTTGATTCTGGATTGATTCTCATTGAACCCAAAAAACGGGCGGTTCTGACTGAGGTTCCAAAAGCCTGGTGGCAAGGCATGCAGGTTCAGCCATCTACTATTTAAAAGTTATAGCAATTTGCCTGGAGAAGTTTCTTTCTACACATCACTGAGTTAAACGATCTTAAACGTGAGGGACACGTGTTGAAGTATGAGTGTTTGGAGACTCCCTAAAGTTGGGAAAGAAAAAAACACAGAGGAGGGTCACCCATTGCTGCGAGATTTGTTCGGCAGACAGTGGGTTGTGAAATGTTGTGAGATGTTGTGACCTTGAACATGATATCAAATGATTCTTAGGGAATGGTTCTCTGGGAAGGTGAAGACTCACACAGATGGTGAGTTTTCTCAAGATCATGATCAGCAAGGTCCCAAGACATGTGCTTCACTTCTTTGTAAAACCCCAACATATCTTATAGTAAATACCATTCTATAACATTCTCCACGAACCAGGGAAGATCCAGAGCAGTAGGAGCTGCAGGTACGTCGTTTTGGGCATTCTGGTCCTCTCCGGTCCTGAGGACTCCTATTTCAAGCGAAGGGCTCAGATCTACCACAAGGCGGAGGTGAAGCGTCGCTACATCCCGACCGAGCAAATCGCTGGAGCCTTGCTCTCCTACCGAACGGAAGCGCCGGTGGGCGGCTTGGCCTCTTGCGGAGGACCTGAAGGTGTGAAGGTGTGCTGCGTGGGTTCCCGAACTCCCTGGCTGAATCTCCCCATCTACCCGTCTCCGCGAGAAGTAAACCATGGGATCTGACCCGGCTCTGCCAGAGTTCTGCCTTAACTTGGGCTGTTCGATAGATGAAAAGGCAAGAACTAGAATGTCACAGTTGGAAGAGAGATGCATGTTCGATGTGCTCCTGGTTCCTGGAATCCGCCGTTCTTGTTTTGTCTAAGGCTACATCGCATCTAGGAAGTTCTACTGCTGCGCCTATGCCAAGGCGTCGTAGCAGAATGACCTGAGGTGTCGAATGACTTGAGCAACGTCATAAACCTCTATGAAAGAATTTAGGCAGGACTTAAGATTATGAATCTGTGCGAAAGGAAAACTGCAGTTGGGGAAAGCTTGGCGAAAGGTTTGGAGAAAGGCTCTGATTTTTTGATGAATGGATTTTGTTGCGAAAGGGTTGGCGAAGAGGTTTTCAGTACAAAGCATGTCATCCAAAGATTCATGATAACCAGGCGAAAGGTTGGCGAAAGGTTCGCGAAGATGTGGCGAAAGCAGTGGTTGCAGATTAGGAATGATTCCCCTTTGCTGATACTTTTCTTAGATGTAAGTAGCAGAAACTCGGCGAAAGGGTTAGCTAAAGAGGTTGTCGGGTGAAGTGGGTCGGCGAAAGCAAAACATGCAGCCGCGAAAGCGTTGCAAAGGGATTGGCGAAAGGTTGTTATAATCTTAATAAAAGTTCCGGATGGTTTTTGACACCGCTCACTTGGCTAAAAGACATGATATAAGAAAATATATACATATTATACCTACAAATCTAAGTGGTTTACAAGAGGATGGTCATCAACCTTTTGTCAAGGAAGTTCCATGTTCGATCGAAGGGGCCGGGGTTTCTGTCTCTTTTCAACTGGACGAAAAAGCGAGGAAGGACGTGACTCCGTGACTTTGGTGTATCCTATGTGTTTCCATGTTGGAGCCATGCGTCAAACCGGACCGGATCGATGTTGGTGTCCAAACATCGGAAGATCCGGCGCTGCCACGGGGACGCATGGGGTGCTGACCCAGCGCAGGAATTCACGCACCGAAAGTATGCACCGGTTCACTCCTGAAAGGGGGGGGGTTCAGACCCGGTGACATGAATCGTCGCCGAAGGAGTTATTAAAATAGTTGTTAACCCTGGGAGTCAAGTCGACTATAAAAAGAATGGTCTGACGAACGGGGACCTGAAAGGGAACTTCCTTTACTTCGGCCGGTCAATATATAGTCTTTGGACTTCTAGGGTTAAATGCTGTGAGTTGTGAATATCTCAGTGAAATATGTCATTCCACTTGCAAGTGGGTGTTCGTTAAAAATGCAAGGTGTGCGTTAAAAAAGATCCTGAGTCGTGATGGGTGTTGACATCTCCCAAGACATCCTCAAGACATGGGAGACCGACACCAGGCGGTCCCCTTGGTAGGTTGGGAAAGGTCTACCCAACCAGGTTGGTGATCTCCTTCTTCAAATACACACCAAAGACCTTCTAAAGATCTTCTAAACCACCCAACCAAACACCCGGAAAAAACCCGGATGTTCTTCCTCACATCTACGACCTTCCACCAGGACAATAATCTAAAGTATATACCCTTAAAATTGCGAAAATTGGAACATCACTGTGACCGATGCACTCCACCAATGTGAAAATCTCCGAACTCCGGACTCCACCACTCAAAAATTTATTCTTTGCGGGACGGACTCGTTTTTCTTCAGCCTGGGTGGTGGCTTGGGGCGGGCTGAAGGGGCGATGTGGTTCTTTTCCCAGCTGAATCAATCACCCAAACCTGGGGAAGATGTGTTACTTTTTAACTTTTCCCAGGTTCCCTATGCAAATCCAAGTGAGGCGGTGCAAGAAGTGCCAGCCTTCAAGTTTCTGGAGAGCTTGTGTCAGGATGGTGACTCGGACGGGTTTGCGATCCGACGGGCGGTTTCCTTCTTTCCCCTGCTTGCCCTAGGGCTCCAGTCGTACCTCCTCAGAAGGTATCTGGACCCATACCTTCTGAGAAGGTACTTGGAGCCATAGAGTGGACGTTGCCCTACAAGTCGAAGAGCTCATTTCAAAACCCATACTTAAGGAGGTAAAAGACCAGGCTTTACTGGGTCTTTGGACTTGTAGGGTTGTCTTGCATCAGAGAAAAAAAAAAAGTACCTTCCAACAGGTCTCCGAAATGGTGGCTTTTGCAGACTTACAAGTGCTGGTATGCCTAATACACGCGTCCTTTTTGTGTCCTTGCAATATCCCGGTGTCGATCTTTTGGTTGTTCGGATGTTCTTTTGAATCCGATTATGAACTCAGATGAGTTCTATGGAGTCGATCAATCTCACGTTTCTTTGATGACTCTCACGTTTCAAAAAATCCACCGCCCATGTCACGCTTTGGATCCGTTCCATGGCGATGGAACCGAATACGAACACTCTGCCCGGTCCACTCGGTCAGACGTGTTCCGTCACATGGTTACGTGGATGGGAAAATGGTCCCGAAAGGAAGACGACTTTCCTTTACAAACCGGAGGTGCCATCCACTTCCGATGTGTTCGTCAGAGTGTCATGTTCGTCGCATGTCAGACGTGGTTTTCCTTGCGGCAAAAAGCTCACTTTCAACCTCCTTTGGGGTGCGTGACTCGGTGACAAACACTTGAATAATCTTGAATATAGATACATAGACCATCATAGACCCCCAAAAAGATAGAAGTTCCTTGATCCCCACTTATATAACATGTATGTTGAAACCGTGCCACTATCGATTTGGGGACCACTATATATAGAGTATTCTAGATCACCTCGTGTTACCCTTTGTTTGAAGCTGAGTGGTTCAGCAACAGTCAGTGCCTTGGTGCCTTGTGCGTTGCGCTGTGAGAAGCAGATGTAGCAGGCATCGAACTGCTCGTCCCAGATGCTATTCAGAAGGGCACCACAGTGGTTTCATCTCAAACCCTAAGCCTCCAAAGTACCTTCTGAGAAGGTGTTTGAGGTGGGTTTGGAGGGTGCAAATACCTTCTGAAAAGGTACTTGGAGGTGTAGGGAAGGTGATCCATCCTTTGAATCCTCAACCCAAAGAGGCCCTAGGGACAGCTCCTGGCCAGCCTCCGTTTCGGTGGTGCTTGGGGTGTGGTGCCATGGAGGGTCGTACTAGAATTAGATCTATACATGACTATACCTGATGTGGGACAGGAGCCCTACAGCAACATCGTTGTGCCGATAAAGAATGTGCCCGGTTTCAAACCTTTTTCCCTTCCTGGTGTTTCTTTCCGGTTTCGGTGCCCGGTGCATACCACAAGCTGGGCCACCACAGCTGGGTGTGTTTTGTATGGGCGGGAGACGGCAGATCACAGGGATCGGCTGGGCATGGTCTGTTTTCCGTGGAGGTTGCCTAGGAAGCCTCCGATTGCTGAACACGCCGGAGACCCTGTGAACATGATCTCTTCCCTGCACTATGGCGGGGTGGAAGTCACCAGTGCAGAAGAAGAACTCCCCGAGAATCACCAGTGACTCTTCCAAACTCAGGAGATTCTCCACCCGGCCCCCCCGGGCCAGGGATGTCTAATTATAGCTCCTTAGAATCTATCCAGATGGGTAGATGAATCAGCCCTATCGAATGGGGCCCTGGCACCATCAACGAATTCATCAACGAATCCCATGATGTTCAGGCTCTTCTTGCGCACCATCTGAACTCCAGGCTTCAACCTCCTCTTACTGGGTCCTGATGGACACCCCATGGGCTACGGTGACGACCTAGAGGAAGGGAACGCTTTGACAACGGCGGTGCTGGAAAAGACTTTGGCGGAGGCCTACCAAGACACCAGCAGCCTGTCCAAACTTAGTTCCACTGATGTTGGCTTTCGGCGGGTTCCTAGGGTCTTCTCACCAGCAACCTGTCCTCAGCAGCAACCTGATGGTGTTCTTCCCAGCTTTTTCACGGTTTTTTGTGAAGAATCTTTCAGCTTCGAGGTAACAGCACATGTCTTCCGGAGGAGATTGGCTGCGCACATGGCTTTGTATTAGGAAAACTACAAAGAATTGGTAGTATGACAGTATGACCAGGTCAGCACATGGTGTGGCTAGTGCGGTTTCATTCGAACTCATATGATTTTGTGATAACACCTGCGTCCTTCAACAGTGCCCTTCGGATGAGACATTTTGGTACCTCATACATTCAGCGATGTCCTTTCTCCTCCATTTGCTTGAATGAACAAGTCGATCCCAAGGCAAGCAATTCGGAGACTTGTCTGAACAATTGGCGGGGAGAGCAGTTGCTGAGTTGCAACAGCAGCAGGAGTCAAGATAGCAAAGATATCCAGCTGAAGTATTCTTTCTTCACAAGAGTCTGGTTTGGCGCCCTACAGTTAGTCCCTCCCATGTGACAGGATGTCAAATGCTCGTGCCGTCGCGAAAAAAAACATAGACAACCTTTAGCATCCCACAATCTACAATCCTACAAAGCTTCTTTTCTCAGCCAACCTGATGTGTTCCGGGGCGGAACCTTTTTTTGGCTTCCCAGCGAGTTGGTTTATGCGAGCGTTACACACAAAACGCCATGGGCCCATATTCTGACTCATACATCAACCAATGTAGTTTGATCAGAAATTGAGCATTTGCCTTTGCAAGCGACCCTACTAACCCAATTCAATCAGAGGTGAATTTTCTTTCCGGGTGTCCACCCAAACCCTGGCATTTCTGGATGACTTCACTGTTCATTTGCCGTGTTTTGTTGGCTTGCCAAAACCAACAAACGACGCTCCCATGTTGTTTGTTCAGGACACGAGCGAGTCTTGCTGGCTTTGCTGCTGGGCCACGCACCGTGGAAGGAGGCCGCAGATCCCACTGGTGAGCTTTCCTTGTGCTCCTGAGCTGCGGAGCCCGCGCGCGCCGTGGAAGAAGAACCCCACCATCCCGCGCGGTGCGGGTGGAGCGCCTGCGATTTCTCGCGGCCAGTGCTGAGAGCGAGGATTTTTTGGGTAGGGCTTGCTTGGAGGCTTCCTTAAGTCAAGTCACAGTCGATTGGACTTTATGATCTAAATGAAAAAGAACTTGAAAGAACAACGAATACTTGGCGACATTCTTGAGGATGGGGAGCCTGTTAGCCTGGTGCACAGTGATTACTGCACAGTGGCACACCATATCTTTGGTTATGTCCAACTCTAAGCTAGGTGATGTGTTTGCAAGTCACCTTCCATGCCATGTGCCCGCCAAACGATGGCGTTTTGCTTGTCACACGGATGAGACCCGTATGGATGGACCATTTTCGACGAGGACAGAGAGTCGAATTCCACATGATGGTTATGTCTTCATGCAGTTTGGACTCATCATACAAGGAAGCTTTCCAACTTCCAGCATTTTTGGGCATTCCCGGAAAAAGCACCAGGTCTTTTTCCAGTGGATCCATTTCGACACTCCCTTCGGACCCAGTTTTAGGGATTCGACGGGAACCGAGGTTCAAACAGGTCGATACAGACTGGCAGAGAGGGTTTGGCAGGACCACCTGGTGGTCATGGGAAAGTGGCAAACATAGGCAAACCACATGTGATAAGACATGTGATCATAACAAATGTGTGCACAACATGACACGAGGATAGCGGATAGCAAAGGATATGTTGTTTCCACACATTCTGGGAGGGATGCTCTTGACTTTCGGTCAAAACCTAGACCAAGACCAAACTAGAAGTTTGACGTTCAGAGCGGGGCCTGCTGCTTCTTTACATTCATTGCCTAACCCTCACTGCAATTCGAAGACTTGATTTGAAGCTCACCTCGTCAAAGAAGACGCATGGCGCTTGGAGGCAGAAGTTGCACTTGCCCTGGGAGTCAAAGACTACAAAAAGAAGGGTCTTTAGGGTGGACTGTCCTTTACTTCACTATGGAACAGTATAATAGTCTTTGAACTTCTAGGGCTTGGGCTGCTCACAGCAAAGGTTTCAGCGACCAAACAGCAAACTCTTAGTGTTGGCAGTTTTCGGGTGACGTGACCTTGGCTTTTCTGATGGGTGTCCTCCCCTTCCTGGGAACACCTTCTATCATGTCTTTGTCCGGTTGGACCGCCGCACATCCAAGTAGAAGACAGGTCGATGAACCACCGCTGGTCTCAGTAACTGGAGCGGCTCGCAGACCGGTCAAAAGCCTCATGCCAACGACGAACATGTAGTACTCAACTCGTTTTAAAACGGACAGGGGAACCGCGGTGGTTGGCTCTCAGCCATGTTGGATCAATTGGTTTGGGTCAGCGCGTGTGTTGGGTGTTGCCGGGTGTTCCCTTCGAGGGTGTTTGGGAGCCCAGATGAGCAAATGTGAGATGAAAATGAGCATAAGTTAGAGTTACAAGCATCAGTGAGTAAATGTGAGACAAGTCAGCTCAGTCACATTAGCTGTTCTTGTTTTTGATGCAAACAAGTTGGAGTTACAAGTCCAGTTATTCAGATGATTTGGACCGTTATGGACGGTGGAAACTTCGAGGTGGCGGGTTAGAGCCAGTTGGTCAGCCAGTTGAGGAAACCATTTGACCAAATCCATCCAAATCCGGTTCGCACCAGAGGAGGTTCCCATTGTTGTTGTTTTTCCTAATGTGAGGTTTGACATCAGAAGTAGAACCCTAAACCCTAAGCCCCCTCAAAAGCAAAACGATATGCTGGGTCATGCTTGGACTCATTTAGTGTTCTTTTCATCTCTATGTACATGTGTGTGTTTCATATGTCCCAGACACGACTAATGGGACTGGAATAGGACTGCCGCCCCAGACAGACCCCCCTGGCACCACCCCTGGCCGTTTTGAAGGCAGTCCGACATGGCAGTCCCATGTGTCGTGTTTGGGTGTGGGAAGCGTTGTTCCAATTGACAACTCCTACATGTGAATGATGTTCCGACATGTTTCTGCCAGTCAGCGAAGCCTGCACCTTGTCATTGGGGGAGGACGTGACCCAACATGCCTCGAACGTCAAGCCGGAGAAGACTTGTCGAACAGAGCGACAGAATTGGGGGAATTGTTTTGCAGTCCACGAGCAACATCCTGTAGGCCAGAAACAAGCAGATTGTGTATAGATTGTGTATAGCCTAGCTATGGGATTCCAACCATTTAATTGTTCTTTTCTGAGCAACCATTGTTTGAAGGATTTTGCACTGAAGACCAGTGATTCCATGTTTAAAGAGGCTAAGGTATATAGGGTTCCTGATATCTTTTAGGATCCATCGCCTGCAGCATCACAAGCAGTTCTTCGCGCCAGGAAACTCCATCCTTGCCCTTGCCAGAGCTCTTAGCGTGTGAGACGGTCGTTTCGTCCTACGAAAGAAGATATATCTGCGGACCATCACGGCAGAATCTTCCGGGGTTTTCATGGGAAGATCTCCAGAAGGACCAATTTCCTCCATTTGTTGCTTCAAGTAACAGGCCCTAGGATTCCGCCCTTGGCTGTTCCTACCGAACAACTGAGCTGTTTGATTAAGGATATTTTACTCTACAAAAAGGTCAACCTTTCTTTTAATGGTCCAACGGAAGGCTAGGGCCTAGGGTAGGCAGGTTTCGCTCCCTAAGGTAGACGAGGCATCACTATTTGGTGGTAAGCACAGTTCCCACCCATCCACACAGCAGGTTCTTACATGTGCTTTGCGGCCCATGACCTGGTATTTAGCTCCGAAAATGACTATATGTCCAAATCTTCACCCCAGGATTCCAACCACCATTGTGTTCATAGCCTGAAACCCGAACCACCAGCTGTTTTACTAAGGATGTTACACTAGAAAACCAGGTCAACCATTTTACAAAGGGTCGACTGGACTTCCAGGGTCACATAGATGGAAGACAAGACTCTAATCTACAGGTCCTTTGGTCTTGCTTTGGGGGCCACATTCACATCCAGTTGGACTGATCGCTTTGGTACAGCAAACGGCATATAGATCCCAGACACGACTAATGGGACTGCCATATATGCCTACATTGACCCCCAAAACCACCCCAACTGATCGGCATATATGGCAGTCCCATGGAGTGTCTGTGATATCGATCGATTTGTCCAACCAATCCTTCCAGTCTTCGCACTCAGCCGGTGCTCGCCACCGCGATCAAGATGTGTATCCTTTCATATCCTGTCCACACCACATACATGTGTTGTTTGTTCCATACCCTGAAGTAAAGTTGATGGTATGCACTTGCAAGCACTCATGAGAACACAAGTGACAATTCACATGCGTCTACTATGCCTGTCCCTGATTCCAGTCACATGTTCATCTAATCGTGGCTTGAAAAAAGGTAAAACTGTTGTTCACGACCTCCACTCCAAGTGGTTCTTGAAATGATGCAAAAACAAATCACACAGAACGATGCATTGAAAAGACAGTTACAAACAAGTTGAAGACAAAGAAGAACATAGCCAAGAGAGGTTGAGAGACCTGAATTAGGACCCTGGTCTGTGATACATAAGGGATGGGCGATATATAGGGGCTGAAACCAACCTCTCTTGGAGGATGCATGAGGATGCCCTCTCCAGATCGTTGCTTAACCACTCCAAGGCCTCCTCGGCCAGTGCCACAGGCGCCCGGTGGCGCTCGGTGAACAGGGTGAACACCGCGGTGAACACCAGTGATTCAGAGGCTGAAAGGACACGTCACCGCGACACCCACCCTGCTTTTGCTGAACTGGGTGAATCCCCTTGGCATGGTGAAGATATATGTGAATATGTTGGTTTCCGACTTCCTGGGGAGCAAATCCAAGAAACATAGCAGCCTTTGGGGAACGAAAAAGAACATGAAATAATACGTTTTCCCAAGCCACTCCAAGCCAGGGAGGTGCAGAAAGAAAGCATCATAGCACCCAAGCCTTCAGTCGTACCGAACCTGAGAAGGGTGAGACAGGTGTAGGGCTAACAGTTTTGTTGGAATTAAAGATCAAGCATAGACGTTCCAAACACATGATGCTTACGCTTCAAGGTATCAAACAGTGCTTGCTTCGGCCAAGTTGGAATCGTTCATCGGAGCCTTGTACCCCAAACGCATCCGGTGGACCTCGCGAACGTCAAAATGAAGACCCGGGTCCGCGCTGTGGTGGGCAGGGGGAAAAAGGAGCACCAAAGCTTCACCGGCTTCTTGAGGGTCCCATGATTCTTAGGGTCAGAAGTCAGAAATAGACGTTTCTCGGACTTGAGCTTAAGTGAGTCACTTGTAGTCGTGTTTCGTATACAGTGACTACAAGAGGACCCCTCAAGAATCCTTTCACTGACGCTTCTTGAAGCAATTCACTCGTGTTCACAATCACTTCAACAATCACTCAGGCAGTTGTTAACGGGGCTGGGAGATCCGAGCCTTTTGGTCGGCTTGTTGACATGTTTTTAACATCCAAGCCATAAAGTGGGTGTCTTTTTGAGCTTGCTTTTGCCATAGGTGGCTAGATGGAGTGGGTGATGGTTTGTTTGGTGAAACCTGAACCGTAAAACCAGGTCAACCGGAGGGTCGCAGCGACCGATCGCAGCGCGCGGCTTCGACGTGGCCCGATCCGAGCCTGGTCCCATCGCGAAACGAGTGTGTTTTTTTTGTTGGTTTGTTACATTGGGTTGCGAAACGTTCCTTTTTTTGGAGATATAGTATCATATAGTGTTTGTTGGCAGGTTCAATTGAGGTTTGGATCAACAAAAAGCACGGTTTAACCAGTAGTGCCTTCTTTTCCCTGGTCGGTTGAGAAGGGCTTCACGGTTCGGGATGGCGGAGTTGGTTGCGATCACTCCCGCGCAGACTGGAACATGGCAGGGGTCGGACCCTCAATGGCAGGGGTCTGGGCCCTCAAAACCCTATGTGCGCTATGTGTTTGAGGGCCCGGATTCTTAGGGTATTACCTGTACCATCCTGTACCAGTCGATATACCATTTTAGAGAAAGGCCTTCACTAACCATCATTATCCACTGGGCACTGGTAATGGGACAGATAGACTCAGTGATAGAACCAATACATATTTTGTTTCCTGTTGTTTTGCTGACCGGTGGTTTTGTTTTTGTTCTTCTTGTTGGTGAATCCTTTTTGGGTTGATGTTGGAACATTTTGGATACCTTTTTATCCAGGTTCCTCAACTCGAAGGACTTCACTCTTCACCCCTCCCATCACGGTGTTGTTTTTTCACCACACAGTTGCTCAAGGCATCTGTCACTTTCTTCCAACCTATTCCATTGAGCTTCCTAATTCCAGGTCCTTGAGCAGAAAATCCCTTTGGTTGAATCAACCCTATAGACTATCCCATAGGTACCCCAGTAGGGTCCTTTTAAGGTCACTTAACCTCTCTTGGAATGTATTGTGATCCCCTGCGCCTTCGCGAGTTCCCCGAAACGTGCACCTCTGTACCTCTGTACCGTCTCCGCGCGCTGTTTCTCGAAGCGACCGTGCTCGCGCGACGACGAGCGGCGGAGGCGTTGAAACCTGCCTCGCCGCTCCTGGGACCTTCCTTGCCCTCGGTGGGGACATCCAGGGACACTTCGCGGGGCGTCGCGGTGTCGGAGTTCGCGTGTTCTGTTTTGGCTGCGAAAAGGCCGGCTTTTCTTCCACCAAGTCTTCCATCATTGTGCGGAGTTTGGAGTTGTTTAACATTCATTTCGAGGCACCAAGGCATGTCGGTCAGTTGATCACAGCACCGAAGCACTTGATGCTTTGCTTTTTCATGGTGTTTTGACATCCTCACCCCACAGGGCGCGTTCCCACCACGTGCTGGTGGGATGTGTTTCATAGTAGTATACTATATAGATCTATATAGTAGGTGAGCATCTAGCTGAATGCAGTTGGTTGTGTGATGAACTCGCATTGTTTGACATTGATTTGTTCTTGGTGCAGTCGGCTAACGGCTAACGCTTCCAGTGCGAGTCTCTTTGAGGTCGAGGGAAGTCGCATGGCAAGTGAAATCAAGGCACAGATCTTCCAACAAAGGTGGGTCAGAACCCGACTGCTTCGACTATCCCAGTCTGGTACTCCAGGTTTTCCGGGCTATATAATGATCACTGGCTACCTCTCTTAGTTGGCCCTGCCATCCGACTCCGGGCTGGGTCCACTAGAAAGCCTCGCCTGGGCGATTGGCTGGCGGCCAAGCGCCAGAAGTGATTCGGTTGACCTACATGAACAGTTCCTATAGATAACCCTTTAACTGGCGCTTCAAGGCATTGTCTCATGCCATGTTTCTTTGGACGATGAAGGGTCCCGCATCAATGGCACTTGTGGGAGAGCCACCAATTGACGGAAGGCAAGAGTCCATTACTTCAAAGGTGGCCCGGCGCAAGACCGGCGCGAAGAGGCTGACTGGAGACGGCCCGCCCTTGCCGAAAGTGGAGTCCCTGAAGCGAGAGCTACAGAGCTACAGGACACCAACCAGATGTCGAACGATCCTGCCACTTGCCATGCCGATGTTCCGCCTATAGAGTTTGAGGAGGCGCACCAGAAAGACTCACTTCTGCAGAGCAACATGCAGCATATGTTGGGCCTGTCTTATGACCTGTAACAGTTACCAAACAATTATTACTATGTTTGAACAAGGCCTTTAGTTGCCTTTAGTAGCCATCATAATCCACTGTTACTGGTAATAGGATAGACCCAAAAGCATATGATGTAAGTTGCGGCGATCAATCACGCCGAAAGTGCACCCTTCAGATGAGCGAAGCTTTCACCGTGACATCTCACGGTGCTCGTCGGTCCGCTGGGAGCGTGCTCCGTGAGCTGGATGAGTAGACTTGGTGCTCGACCTGGCAGACCACATTGGTGTCTTTCAAGCGAAGGACCCGCGCCGGTCGCCTTGGCGACCCCGGTGAGGGCTTTCCACCATCCCTATTCGAGGCCTGAACATGCGGAACCGAAACGATCAGCTTCTGGACATTCAGGTCTTTTGCTTCGTGGTTTTCCCCTCAAGTTTCTTCCCGTGGTCCCATTCGCTCTCAGTGCACCTGCCACGCACGCCTTGGCCAGCACCCACCGAGGCTCGTCCAAGCCATTGCAGGTACGAGGCGTCCAGGATAGATGCCCAGAGGCATGGGCCTGGCTGGCTGAGAGCGATCTTGGTGGTGCCTGCGACGACGCTGGCTGCTTTGGGCGTGGGATCTGGCTCAACGAGAAAGTTGGAGGGGATAGGTGGATGTGTGGCGTCTGGGGTGGCGCCAAAGTATGTCCAGCAGGCAGACGGTGGCGCCTTCAAGCGGCTTCCGCCGTCAAGCTTCGGGTTCAACAGCTGGCAGACGCGTGGAAAAAGTAGAAGCAGCTTGGCCCAGCCGGCGCAGCGCAATCTTGGAAGCTGTGTCAGCTCACCATACGCTGCCAGGTGCAGTCGGGGCAGCTGCATAATGTGTTGTATGATGCTTTGTCTTTGCTTGCCTTTGGGAATGCGCTTGGAGCCTCAAAACAATCGACAAGTAACGTAGGCCACTGATGACAAGTGTTCCATGGGGAAAGCTGGACGAACAAACGATTTGAGTTTGTCAATCATTTAGAGGATGCTCCGTTACTTGTCTGTGAACTCTGAACTTATAACACTGTTCTTCTTGAAGGTCCACAAAGGATATGAAAGGATCATCCATTTCAATCGAGACTCTTAATAGCTTTAGCGTTCGCGCATGAGCAAATGAGCCCAATCATATGAATTGCCCAGAATCTCACCATCAAAAGAATATGGTACAGTAGCTCACGGATGCTGAACTGCAACCCCTCAACCAGTCCCCCTCCATCTAACACCACGGCGCTCATCTGCGACGAGACTCCGGTGGACACGCTCAGCGCAGAGGCCTTGAGAGGCAACTCTCCTTCGACGCCACCGGTTCGGGGCCCACAGGAAGCGCGTTTTTTCCTAAAGGAAGTTCAGACCATGTCAAATGACCAACATGCTTTTACTGGTCAAGGCTTAACTCAAAATTGGTGTACTTTGCTAGTTCATGAGCCATAAAGGAACATAAAGGAACTTCTCGCTTCTCTCTCTCTCTCTCCCACGCACCTCTCACTCTCACACTCACACCCACTCTCACTCTCTCACTCTGGAAATCAGTGCCGTGTGCTCAGTTCATGTGAACCATGAAGCTGCTAAGAAGCCAATGGTGATGACCTTGACGGAGTTCTTTACCATCACGGAACGAAAGGTGCGACGACTGGAGCGACGACTGGAACCAGGCTTGCGACAAAGCATTGAAGGTTCTTCCAACAGTCACAAAGGGGTGGTGTTTAGTCCGTAAGTGAGTGGATAATGGGCACCCCTAAGCTCCATTAAGCACCCCTTTGTGACTGCTGGTTGACATGCCTATTCAAAAGAGTTCAACGTGGACTGGAATGATCTATCAGCAGCTTCACAATGCTGAAGGCGGTCTCCACATCATGCAGATCATTCTGAAGTATCCTGACCTACCTCGCTTGCGAGGAGAAATTCAAGACATCGCCCAGGTTGGAAGCCGAAGGCTTGCATGAGGGTGCAGGGCGGGTCGAAGAGGAAGCGGCTGCCGTGCTCGAAGGCAGAGTACGAAGACCAGCTGGTACCCCTGTCACAGGGGTCACTCACCCTCACACTCTCCCTCCCTCCCTCACTCACTCACTCACTCTCTCTCTCTCTCTCTCTCTCCCTCACTCACTCACTCACTCACTCTCACTTCCATTCTCACTCTCACACTCACTCTCGCTTTCACTAACTCTCACTCACACTCCCACATACTCTCACTCTCACTCTTACTCTAACTTTCACTCACTCTCACTCACACTCTCACTCTTTCACTCAGACTGTTTGCAGCTACACATCTAGACCTCACACACACTGTTTGGGGTCTCTTGCCGGGATAATACTGGTTTATCGTGTGCTCCAATGTTTTTAAATATTTGGCAAGAACATGTGAAAATGTCAGTCGTTGAAATTGTTGAAGAACTGGGGCATCCAAGGCGTCCCGTATTGAAAAACACATGTTGGCCTCTTGGGCTGCGTCGTCAAACGTTATGATTGGCGACTGCACCCATGCGCATGGCAGCAGCTTCACAATGGAGTGTTTGGCAAGAGCATTGGAGCGGTTTGCCGCACAGTGCCAGCAGAGCTAGTGCTTTGGAGCACAAACACATCCAGAGAGAAAACACTTAGTATAACTAGTAGCAAGGACGCTAGTAGCAATGTTACTAGCGATGCATTTGTTCCTAGTAATAGTTGTTGAATCTGCCGCTTCTGGTTGCCTGGTCCCAAGTCCTTCCGATCTGCAACAGCCAACTGCTCCAAGAAGCACACAAGCGATCCTTGCCTAGACCAAGTGACAAGTGAACCAAGTGTGTTGTCCAGGTCTTCAACCCTACCCAGTCAACAGAGAACCTTTCACCCATTTTCTGGACTTGGTTTTCTTTAACTTCCTGAAGTCAAGGAAGATGGAACCAGGCAAGGCTAAGGCAGCCGAAGATTTACCCTGCAATAGGATCCAGCAGGTGAACCGTGGAAAGTGTGCTTAACCTGTTGCAGCGAAAGTCTCGGAGTCACACGTGTTTGGCACTCCAAGGGGCACGATGCAGTGGAAGATGGCCTGGTTCAGCAGAAAGAGGCGACGACGTTCGGCGGAGTTTGAGCGCGCTGGGCCACGAAAAGGTGGGTTGAGGTGTCCAACTTCAGGGGAGCACAAGAACAACCCAAGATTCTGGGGATAGGAATAGATTGAATTTCCTCTCACTTGTAAGAGACTGACATGGGAGTTGCAAGATGGATTCCGTAGGGCACGGAAGGTTGCTTTTTTTCACGTTTCGTGTGTCTGAAAAGAAGGGTCCCAAGTTAGATCTTGCAACGTTGGGGATATCACAGAGGAGTCTGGATGGGTTTTTGTTTGTGCGAAGTGGTTTTCTTGAATTGCAAGTCACCGTCGTTCACCTTCCCTCTTTTGGTGATTTCGTTTCATGGCACAGGCTCCAAGATAAGACTGAATGGGCCATATATTATATATAACAAGATGGAACCCACGAACCCGAATGCAAACACGTTCGAAAAACTACATATGTCCAAATGACACTCTTGTAGGACACTCTTGTGGGACACTCTTCTGGGACACTCTTGTAGGACACTCTTGTGGGACACTCTTGTGGGACACTCTTGTAGGACACTCTTGTGGGATACTCTTGTCGGACACTCTTAAGGGACACTCTTGTGAGACACTCTTGAGCGACACTGTTGCGGGACTCTTGTGGGACACTCTTGTGGGACACTTTTGTGGGACACTCTTGTGGGACACTCTTGTAGGACACTCTTGTAGGACACTCTTGTGGGACACTCTTGTGGGACACTCTTGTGTGACACTCTTGTGGGAAACTCTTGTAGGACACTCTTGTGGGACGCTCTTGTGGGACACTCTTGTGTGACACTCTTGTAGCAAACTCTTGTAGGACACTCTTGTGGGACGCTCCTGTGGGACACTCTTATAGGACACTCTTGTGGGACACTCTTTTGGGACACTCTTGTGGAACACTCTTGTGGGGCACTCTTGTAGGACACTCTTGTGGGACACTCTTGTAGGACACTCTTGTGGTACACTCTTCTGGGACACTCTTGTGGGACACTCTTGTAGGACACTCTTGTAGGAAACTCTTGTGGGACACTCTTGGAGGAAACTCTTGTGGGACACTCAAAAAGGACACTCTTGTGGGACACTCCTGTTGGACACTCTTGTGGGACACTCTTGTGGGACACTCTTGTGGGACACTC